GATATTAACAAAATTTTAATCTTTTTTTTTTTAATTTTTAAGCCTCAATATAATTTGAACCTTAGTAACAATAAAATTTAATAAATAATATCGATTGATTATAATAGAAGAAAATCTGTCCTACACATTAATAATATCTCCATTATTGTATCTAATTAATTTATATTATTAAATTTTATTAATAAATTTTAATTGATGGGGTAGTTAGCCACAATAATGGATAATTTTAACAATAACCCATTGATACATTAGTGAAAATATAAAAATGATTAATAAATTTTTTATAGTAATAACAACTTAAGTATATTTGAGCAGAACGAATAAGAGTTGATAGAAAATTATATCTTTTTATTTTTCTCACTTCTCCTCCTCTTGATTAAGAAAAAAAATTTTTAAATGACTTTTTTTTTCCTCCCCTCCTTTTTAACTTTTTTTAATAGTTAACTAAAAAAAAAAATTTCTTCTTTTCTTTTTATTTTCCTTAGCTCAAATATATTATTAATAATTAACCATTTCAATACCTGAGCCCGCAGACCACAAATAGCTTCATTCTCGTCTTGTAAATTACCTCTTTTTATCAAATTTCCCTTCATAGGGATTTTATCTAGAAGTGCTTGCCACATGCCATGCCTAGCATTATGTTATATTGTCTACATCAATCTATGTATCGTGTTTAGTTGTCTATCATTTTATTATTCATTATATATTTGTCGAAGCTGATTGTACCAAATTTAGCCCTTATCACGCATGATGACTACCTTCACGGTGAGCAAGGTCAAAATTAAATTTTGAAACGCGATTAGTGATTAAATGCGATGTTGAGAGAATTTGGTTGTGGGCATCCTTGGCATTAGTTGGATGGACTTTGGGACAAACTCATTCATTTCTATTAATTAATATTTATTTCTAGTTGGTGCTAAATACCTACGCAATTCAATGGGAATGAGAGTGAGGAATTTTAGGTTTGAATCGTTCAATGCACAAGTTGGATAGATAAAATGATGTGTCATAAATATATATATATATATGTATGTATGTAAGTAAAGGTGACAAAATCATATCCGATCTCTTAATCTAACCTAACTCAACTCGTAAAAAGTGATTTAGAGTCAAATAATATTGAACCCATACTCCATTTGGGTTATTTTGAATGGATCAAGGGTCAAACATCGATTAACCCACGAGTTCACAAGTTAACTCATTTGACTCATTTGTTTTTAAAATTTTTAAAAAATATATTTTTATAAGATAATTTTTTAAAGCAAAATAACTAATAAATATAATTTTAAAAATATCTAATATGATGGTAGTAATTACAAATTATAAAACTTTTCAAATAAAATTGATTATATTCATTTAAAATTTATAAATCAAATATTATGTATTATATATAATTACCTATAAAGAAAACAAAAAATTTGAATGAATCATTCGAAATATATTCCACAAAAAATAAGTCATTTTGCTTAAACTAATCAAATAGAGAGAAGCAAAATTATTAGAAAATAATCATATTAAAGTTACTCTAATTTAATTTTAATAAGTTAATATTAAAAACATGACTAATTATATAAAAAAATTGAAAATAATTTAACTATGAGTTCACCCATGACCTCAGTAAACTCCACTTGATCCCAACCCAATCAGCCCATTTGCCACCTATATATGTAAGTGTGGGAGGTTAGTATAATATAGGTTATTCTCTTAAAATTGTTTTTAAATAATTTATTTAAAAACACATTATCTAATTAATATTTTTAAAAATTAATTTTTATATTAAAAATTTTATTTATATAAATTCTTCATGTTAATTTTTATATTAATATAATATTTATAATCTTTGATAAAAAAAACTTTATTTATTAATATGTATTTAATGATGTGAAATTTTATATAATTAACAAACAATTAAACTACTAATCATTGATTTTTTAAAATACTAATTAAAAGATAAGATTATTAATCACACTTTACCCTATATATATTTATATGTCAGCTATCCCTCTCTCTATATGGAGATTTTGTTGCTACCAGACTCAAATCTACCTCTCATTAAAATAGTTTTCAAAATGTGAAGTTAACTCGTAAAGAATTTACAAAATTTAAAATCGCATAAAGAGTTAGTTTCCATAAACTTACAGTAAAACTGGGATGGAATAGTAAATGGTATAAAATAAAGTCAGAAAAATCTAGAATTTACAAAATTCAGTGGTTTGGGCTATTTTTTTCTATTTAACTGGGTCTGGGCTTTTCTCGGCCATCAAGGTTTGGATCGTATTTATATACGCACTTAACCACTTGTACACAAAGTTTTTACATTTGTTTGCTGATAAAAATTGCCGAAAAACTTGTCAATAAAAATTTTTTAAATATGATAATTTTTTTTTATTAATATCTAAACTTTTTCTTCTTCTTTTTTTTTTTTTTCCATGTAAAGACTTAAAATCAAACCGAAGACTTACCACTAATAGTATGTTTAGTTTAAAAAAAAGGCAGAAGGTGCAATTCAGCCCCTCTACGTCTATTGTTGTGGCACATCAGCCCCTCTACCTAAAAGTAGAGCAAATCAGCCCCTTCACTTGACAAAACCCACAAATCAGCCCTTCTGCTGATGATGACCTCATCAAATGTCATCTTTCCGTCCACATCCTTGTTACTCCGTTACCAAGAAATGGCTTGGTGCTGATATGGCATTGGGTGGGTGATGTGGTCAATTAAACT